CCACAATCCCGCGCGAGGGGACCGGCGTCGTCGCCTTCGGGTCGGCGTCGGCGCGGCCCGCGAGCGGAGACAAAAGTGGCGCCATTGCGCGGCTATTGGGGCGCCCCGCCGCTCGCCCCGGGGGCCTGCTGGGGGGCTTTCGGCCTTCTTTATTTTGGCGATCGGCGGCCGCGGTGCGGAACGGAAGGGGTAAAGGGGCAGCCCCCCCCCCCCCCACCGGGCAGCCACATAGCCGGCTCGTGAAGGCGTATCGTTCTGCGACTGTTCTGCAACGGAGTCTGTGCTTTTTGGGTCAACTGGTTATGCACCCCAAAAATCCAAAATGTAACGTTCAAAGAGTTACTGTTCTTCCAAGTTTGAAAAGCATTTCCTGCGCTAAGATAATTTTTTTCGGTGTTCAGCTCACACATTCCGCCTACCTGAAAGTTAGATCGTTTGTGTCCTCCAGCAAATTGTATAACAATTTAGTTATGCAGTTTAAACCTGTTACCGTTACTAGTTGTTGTTAATTTGTTTTCATTAAATCTTTTCTCTGTTTTACTGTTTTATTTTCAGAGCATTCCCACAATGAAAGTTCTCAACGACAGCGCTGTATAACGCGGATGTTTTCTTATACCAGCGCCCCTGCACGACGCGAGGCGAGCCGCCGGCTCCACTCAGCTGCCTGGCGGGTTTGCCTACCCAGCGCGTCGCAGGCGCTAACAAGCGCTCATTCGAGTGAGCCGTCACCAGACAAGTGAGTGTGTATGTGTGTGTTCTTGGTCTGGCATGGCTCACACGCTATGTTGCGAAGTCATAAGTCTCTACGAACGGCGCATCAGTTAACGCTAACGACCATTTCTGCATTCTTCAATGAGCTTTATTCTCGCTCGTTCCCACTTACTGCTTGTTTCAGTATTTTTAAATTTCATTTTGCCTCCGCCCCACACGCTTTGTCGGTTTCTCATACGGTTCAGCGCCCGCTGCTGCTCTGGAAACTCAGGTGTGAGACAGTCTAACACCAAATGGTGTTAGGCAAAATACCTCACACCAAATGGTGTGAGACTAGTTGTGCCTCACACCAAATGGTGTGAGACTAGTTGTGCCTCACACCAAATGGTGTGAGACTAGTTGTGCCTCACACCAAATGGTGTGAGACTCGTTGTGCCTCACACCAAATGGAGTGATACTTTCTCATTCCAAATGGTGTGAGACACAGAGGGTCTCACACCATTTGGTGTGA